TCTTATTTCCCCCCCCCTCCCCCGGCCAGAATTCTCTCCTGCACCCCTGCCATAAGCCACAACACCCTCCTTCACCCAAATTCCTCCTCAGACCCCACACCCTCTCCTACCCCAATCTGATACCCTGAGCTCCCTTCTGCACCCAACCTCCATCCCTGACCCCACACTCCCTCCCTCGATAGAAAAGTGTGGCCCTTTACCATTTACCAGAATCTTGGGAGTAGCCCCCCATCAAAAATTATTGCCCACCCCTGCCATAGAGGAAGTCCCAGTTTAAGAGATCAATGACACTGCACTGTAATGAGCCACAATGGGCTATAAATACCACAGCAGTATCCGGACACCACCCATGCCATGGCACAGACAGGGGAACAGAGACTAGTTATTTCTAAAAAAGGAAAATGCTTTTCTACCACATTGCTCTCTAATTCAATTGCTAATCCTGGTTTACCCGCTCGTGCATGGATAACAGCTAACTTGCTTGCATTTTAAAGAATATTAATTTGTACATGTTGCTCTGTTTCTGCAGGCTTGGAAATCTGTGCCTACCCTCAAAGCAATAAACACATAGCAAGATACTGCTACAACTGCCTTCAATTTACTTTTGGCGTGAAACCCTGCTTTGGATAGTTTTGATTACTTAAAGGTTCTAATGATCTAAGATGGCTCTCAGTTACCTTGAGATACTTGTATATCATTTGGTTCTGGTGGCCTGACGACAGCTTCTGCCACATCTGGAATTTGGAATGCACCTCCCTGGCATACAAAATTAGCAATAGTAAAAAAATGTTAATATCTTGTCTTTGAAAAGTTCTCTTTGCACTTTACACACATTTATCATGCAGGAACAGCTGCATCTCCCTCTAGAGTGAAACCACAACAGCTTAACAGTGCACAGCAAATCCTTGACAATACTCACATACTGTATATAAGTATTCCTCTGAAGCAACCAGATGGATACATTTTTACAAATGACCCATTCAGGCATTATCATCGTAAGACTGTTTTAGGACCAGGTTGTATCTTGCAGAGCTTCCTTGAAATATTTTCATGTAGGAAGAATTTAGGATAGCAGTGAGGATGTGGGATGAGGACTCACAGCCCCACATATCTCCAGGGAAAAGACTACCCTTTAGGCCCCTTTCCTGTGAGTATACTGCCATGCTTGTGGATAAAATGTCTTAGTGAGAAGAACAACAAGCAGTCATCCTATGGCACTTTAGAGAATAACAAAGATATACAGGATCATGAGCTTTCATGGGCAAAACCCACTTCAGATAAGTTGAGTTAGTCTCCAACTCATCTGAAGAAGGGGGTTTTGTCCATGAAAGCTCATGGTTCTCTATATTTTGATTGGTCTCTAAGATGCCACAGGATGACTACTTGTTTTTAAAGATACAGACTAACACAGCTACTCCTCAGACTTAGTGAGAAGGTTGCTGGTGTGGAATATGAGTTACCATTGATATCTGCAAATGAGTTAGGGGAGATGACATGGAGAGCAGCTCCT